GCTCAGTGTCTTAGCCATTGAGCCACCGCATCTCTTTTGGAAGGGATCTTAGAGGTCCTCTAATCCAATCCTATACTGAAGGAGGAGATCCTACACCACTCTGGACCATTTCCAAAGGTGCTTTTTCAAGAGGCAACTGGACTTTCTTATTTTTCTTTGAAATCATTTCTCTTCTCATCCAAGAAGCTTCTTCAGCTCCAAAAAGTTACTTGGATGAGAAGTGAAACGTCTTCAAAGAAAAACAAGAAAGTCTGTTGCCTCTTGGAAAAGCTCCTTTGGGATAACCATGACCTGGATGACTGAGAATTTCCATAGACATCCCGGACCATTGGCTATCCAATCTCTTCTTTAAAACCTCCAGTGAAGGAGCCCTCACAACTCCAGAAGACAAGTTGTTCCCTTGATTAATTGCTCTCATTGTCAAGAAGTTTCTCCTCATGTCTAGGTTGGACCTCTCCTTAACAAACTTTCACCCCTTCTTGTCCTACCCTCTGGTAGGTTTGGAGAATAAGTCGATCTCAGTGGTGGGATTCAAATTTTTTTACTACCGGTTCTGTGGGTGTGGCTTGATGGGAGTGGCATGGCTTGGTGGGTGTGGCTTGGTGGGAAGGTTACTGCAAAATCCCCATTTCCTCCCAATCAGCTGGGACTCAGGCGGCAGAGAATAGATGGGAGTATGACCAATCAGTGGTAGTATTTACCTGTTCTCTGAATTACTCAAAATTTCCGCTACTGGTTCTCCAGAATTTGTCAGAACCTGCTGAATACCACCTCTGGTTGATCTCCTCTTCTCTGTGACAGATCCTGAAGCAATGGTAGACAGTTATCATGCTCTGCCCAAAATCCTTCTCTATAGGCTAGATATACATAGTTCCCTCAACCATTCATCATACAATTTAGACTCCAGACCCTTTATCATATTTGTTGCTTTCCAGGGTCTCAATATCCTTTTTGTATTGTGATGACCAGAACTGGATGCAGTACTCCAAGTGTGGCTCAGTTGTGCAATATACAGCACTAGCATCATTTTTTTGTGTTCTTGATGATATCCTGTTGATGCAGCCCAGGACTTCTTTCTTTCTTTCTTTCTTTCTTTCTTTCTTTCTTTCTTTCTTTCTTTCTTTCTTTCTTTCTTTCTTTCTTTCTTCCTTCTTTTCCTTCCTTCCTTCCTTCCTTCCTTCCTTCCTTCCTTCCTTCCTTCTCTTACTTATTTTAGTTACTTGCTACTAATAATCTAAAATGCACAAGATTATTTTCTTCAACTATTTCTTTTACCCTAGTAATCCTCTTGGCAAGTAGGTAGATTAATTATGAAGAGGAAAAGAAAGTATTTCAAATGGCACAGCTGAAGTTGTAAACTGAATTTGCTGTGATCATGTGAAAGTAAATTCCAGTTAGGTGTAATTGTATCCCCACCTAAAAATGATTTGGGTTATTGCTGGAGTAGGAGAAGGCGTAAGAGAATAAGAGCAGGAATAATGGTTTTTTAAAATATCATCTGATCTGAAATATTCTAATAGGAAATTAATTACTTCAAGCTAATAATTAGCAAAACAAATTTAAACTAAAATAATTTCTAATAATCTTTGAGCTTTTGGGTATATATTAAGAAATGCATTTACAAACCTATAATATTCAGCTGGTATAATCTTTACTGCACATGCTATTAAAAGTTTACTAAAATGAGATTTGAAGGTTAGTGTATCCCATGGGAAAATTAATTTGGGCAGAATAATGAATGCTATCTATCATTGATTTACTTTTATTAGGTTAACTTTATGTAGTTTTTGTAGCATTCTTAAAATTATAGACACTTTATTAATCAAAATAGCATCTCTTAAGTAGTAAAACTAAGTTGTTTATAATAGTGTTCTTGGAAAGGCCATGAGCCACAGTGGTGCAGTGGTTATAATACAGTACTACAGGCTTCTTCTGCGGGCTGCTGGCTGCTAGCAGTTTGGCAGTTCGAATCTTACCAGCTCAAGGTTTGACTCAGCCTTCCATCCTTCTAAGGTCGGTAAAATGAGGACCAAGATTGTTGGGGGCAACATGTTGACTCTGTAAACCACTTAGAGAGGGCTGGAAAGCACTGTAAAGCAGTATATAAGTCTAAGTGCTATTGCTATTGTATTGTTTTCTGTGATTTGTATACTGCATTCATAGAACATTTTTCAAAATTTAAACATTAGGAAATATATGTTAAGTAATTCCATAATGTAGGGGAAAAGTAAACATAAAACACATTTGCAGCCATTCCATAGACCTTAGGAATGATATAGAAAGGGGATTAGATATATGTAAAGGTTGAATAAAATTAAAATTAAGCAATTCCCCTACCAAGACATTGAGAGGAGTAAAACTTTCACACCCTCATTATTATCCAAATAGAATATTGCATTGGCAGATATATCCAAATATCCAACACTCCAGAAGATAGGCTCAAGATCCAGATGGATCTTGATAGATTTGAACCTACCGGGCCCTATCTAACAAAATGAAATTCAATGGTGAAAAAAGTAAGGTTCTACATTTAGGCAAGAAAAACCAAACGCACAGGCATAATATAGGTAGTACCTGTCTCAATAGCAGTAACTGTGAGAGGGATCTTGGAGTCCTAGTGGACAATCACTTAAATAGGAGCCAGCAGTATGGGGAAGCAGCCAAAAAAGACCATACAACCCTAAGTTGCATTAACAGAGGGATATAATCAAGATCGCATTTTAGTGGTACCAGTTTTAGTACCACTTTATGAACCCTTAGTAAGTCCACACTTAGAATAGTGCATCCAGTTTTGGTCTCCATATTATTAAAAAGATGTAACATGCAGAAAGAGTGCAGAAAAGAGCAACAAAGATGATTATGGGCTGGAAGCTAAAACATATGAAGAATGCAGGGGTGGTTTCTAAATTTTTTTACTACCGGTTCTGTGGGTGTGGCTTATTTTGTGGGCATGGCTTGATGGTCATGTGACAGTGGGCATGGCTTGATGGTCATGTGACTGGGTAGGTGTGGCCAACTCAATGTCACTCATGTCAAGGGGTGCCTCACCTGGCCCCTCCCCTCCCAGCCATTCCTTGTCACACCCAGCCTCAACGTATCTATAGTTCTGTAAAAATGTTGTTCACCTTTTTTCAACTTTATTTTCTACATACTATAGATGCACTTTCATGGACCACTGAAAGAAGGAAATGGCTCACATGCTTTGCCCAAGGAGTGTGATAAGCAACAGGCTTTTAAGGGGCTGCCAGAAAGAAGGGGGGGCAATGTATTTTCCAAAGCACCAGAAGGCAAAACAAGAAGCAATGGATGGAAACTGAACAAAGAGAGAAGCAACCTAAAACTAAGGAGAAACTTCCTGACAGTGTGAACCAATATAGGTGCAGAAATATTTCAGTCATAATTTCACATATAAAATAGCCATTCATGTAATACAACCTGCCTATTGTTCAAAACGGTCATTAGTATTATGACCTCAACCTTCTGATTGAGCATGGGGTTGGACTAGAAGACCTCCAAGGTCCCTTCCAAGCTGGTATTATGTTCATAGCCCAGTGATGGCTAACCTTTTTGCCATCGTGTGCCAAAAGTGGGGGAAGTGTGGGGGGGTGGCATGCACGTGTGCCCACACCCATAATTCTATGTGCTCCATCCCCACGCATGTGTGAGCAACCCCCCCCCCACTTTTGGCACACGATGGCCCGGTAGGCCCATTTTTTGCCCTTCCCAGGCTCCAGAGCCTTTCTAGGAGCCTGGGGAAGGCAAAAACAGCCTTCCCCACACACACCCAGAGGCCCTCCGGAGGCCGGAAATGGCCTGTTTGCTGACTTCCAGTGGGCCCAGAAGGCCTGAAAATCAGCTGGCTGGCATGCATGTGTGCCGGAGCTGAGCTCATGTGCACATCGATATGGCTCCGCGTGCCATAGGTTCACCATCACAGCCATAGCCTCATCGCATAGTGTATGAGTGAACAATAAGCTCGCAAGAGAGCCAATTTGATGTGGTGATTAAGGCATCAGGTTACAAAGTGAGAGACTGTACTTCTAGTCCCACTTTAGCATGAAGCCAACTGGGTGACCTTGGGCCAGTCACTTTGAGCAAGGGGTTGGACGAGAAGACCTCCAACGTCCTTTCCAACTTCATTATTCTGTTCGTAGATTGACCATATGACTTCGCTCTCTCTCAGTCCTGGAAAGGGGGAAATGGCAAACCACTTCTGAAAATTCTTGCCATGAAAACTGTAAACTTATGGCTTAGGACCTGGTTACCTACGGGACCGCCTACTACCACCAATAGCCTCCCACCAGCCGGTACACTCTCATAGAGAGGGGCTTCTCCGGGTGCCGTCAACCAAACAATGTCGACTGGCGGCCCCTAGGGGAAGAGCCTTCTCTGTGGGGGCACCTACTATCTGGAATGAGCTCCCCCTGGAGATACGGAGGATCCCGGATCTGCGCATCTTCCGCCACGCTTTGAAGATCTTTTTATTCCACCAGGCGGGCCTGGCCTAATCTTTTCCCTCTTTTCTTTTTAATATGCAAATTTTAATCTGTTTTTTAAATGATTGGGTTGTTTTAATTTGTCTGGGCCAAATTGTTTAATTCGGTTTTATCCTGTTTTTTAAATTTTGTATTTATGTATTTTACTGTTTGGCTGTTCACCGCCCTGAGTCCTTCGGGAGTAGGACAGTATACAAATCAAATAAAGATAAAGATAAAGATAAACAGTTAACAATGATTTGAATCTCCCTCTCTCTCTTTCTCTCTCTCTCCCTCCTTCCCTCCCTCTCTCTCTTCTTGAAAACTTTTAAGAAAAAAAACAATGCACAGGTGCACGATATGGAGGAACTAAAATTCTATCTCAGATCAAATATTATAAAATCATCAGAGAAGGTAGTCACCAGGAGTCAAAAATTGACTCAAGGCAGATGCACCCACAGATAAGCAACAAGTACTTCTTTTCAGCGAATTTTTCAGTAATAATTCGCTTTGAATAGCACTTACCATTATAAGATATTCGCAGCATAAGATGTCACAATTTCTCAGACATAGTCCTGGAGATGAGATCTTCTAGGAAATATTCTTTTTTCCAAAGTTCTCCTTAACTGTCAGTTTTCAACTGTCTCTTTAGTGATGTTCTTTCTTCTCAGCTTCTTCCTTTAAATAGAACAATTTGGCATAGAGAATGGAGGGAAAGAAGTGCATGAACTTGGGGATACTGAAAGGTGACAGATTGAGGGAAAGCAAAATTGGCTTGCTAGAAAATGTTTATTTTTTATTTATTTTTTTAAGGAAATTCCTTAAGTACTTGCTATTGATGATCTCCAAATTTTGCTTGATATTTGGGGTTGAGCAATTTAACTGCTGTGCTCCTGAAAGTCTAGATCGGGGTCACCAACCTTTCGGACCTCAGGGACCACCAAATTCATAATTTTAAATCTTGCGAACCACTGATATGATTTTTTAAAAGATAAATATTATTTAGTGCAATATAAAAAAGCAAATAATTTTTCTGCAGACCACCAAAATTTTCTCACGGACTACCTGTGGTCCGGGGAACACCAGTTGATGACCGCTGGTTACCATATGCCTGGAATTCATGGTTCTTCCCTGTTTCTGTTTCTAAGGGTAAGACAGAAGAGTAGATAACAATGATCACCAGATTCAGGTTTTTAAGGATAAAATCCTACATCTATCCATTTAGAAAAGTTCCATTGTTCTCCCTGAGAATTACTTTCAAGTAAACTTATTTATAGTTGCATCGTAAAACCCTTTTTGCAGTGTTAGCTTTATGAATCTTGGATGACAGCCATTTTAGTTTAGAATGGTTTATCTTCTGGAAGAAAGTTTATGACAGACAAAGTGAGGCTGAAAAATGCTGAAAACTTTACAAAATGATAAATATGAAAGACAGCAAGGCTGCCTCAGTGAGACACTAGCCAAAATAATGGGCAAGATACCATGGGCACAAGGAACTGGTTTAGTATTGGGAGAAATCTTAAACTAAGAACAAAAACTAAACTTTTTCACACAAAGCCCCCCCTCCCAAGACTCTCAAAGCAAGAGAAAGAGTCTTAGAACAAAAAAGAATTGTTTTCAGAATATAATATCTTTTTATTGCAAAGACATAAGGGAACCTAAGAACATACATTGCTCACCATGCTAAGAGAGAACCAGTGGTGGGTTGCTTCCAGTTCAATCCGGTTCTTGCGAACCGGTAGTAAAAGTGGTGGGAAGCTCCGCCCACCCACCCAGATGTCATAATGGATGATATGCACATGTACAGAAGCTTCTGCGCAAGCGCGTGCTCCCGTTGCAAACCAGTAGTAAAGGTAAGTAGAACCCACCCCTGGAGAGAACATTACTGAACCATTAGTAAAGCAGCAGTGGTGCTTGGTTGATGGAAAAATCTCTTCCTCATCTTCCTCTTAAACATGTCCATCTGATACATGAAAGTATCAAGATACTTTGATGAACAGAATATCAAGAACATATGAATAACTTAAACCAGAGATATTTTTGTTGGGCATTTTACTGAAAAAATACGATAAACAGACTATATATCTGGTTGGTATATACTAACTGCAACTAGAATTGTATTTGCAGAGCAATGGGAAAATGATGAGATTCCATCAAAGGGAAATGTAATTAAGAGAATATTAGAAGGCACAGAAATGGATAGATTAACACTCACTATTAAGGATAAAGAAGAAGAAACTGAATATTTTTTGATATGGGATATATTTTATCAGTGGCTAGACAATAGAAACAGAAGTTAGAAAGGAGGAGATATAAAAAGAAGAAATGTTAATGTGGAGAGTTGTTAAGAAGATGTTAAGTATTATTATTATATTATTAATATTATTGTGATGAATACGACAACAAATATGTGGGTTTTGATTGCTTAAATATAACTGTAGCCAGATCACACACTGCTTGATGGAAATTGAATGTTATATAAAATAAAACAAATAAAACATGAAAAAAGAACATATTAATAACTTAACATTGAAATTGCTATTAATATATTATGCTTATTTTAACAATAAAATGGCATTGTATGATATTTGGCATTGGACAAATTTTAATTGTTTAGTGTTCCTCTTTGACAGTCTCGCTGTACAGGTTTAATAACTTTTCTCTCTTTAGGATTACAATTTAAATAAATAAAGTTTAGGGTTAACACCTATCCATTTCGAGGTTATCCTTATGCAGTTCTCATCAAGATCATCATGTAGAAGTAGAAAAATTAAAACTGTTAAAATTGGCTTCCAAGTAGGCAAATAATTCTCTAGGCAGTTTATAGAACTCCTGTTATCAATTGTGGTAGTGCTTAGGCAATTGATATCAACAGGAAATTTCCTCAAATTGTGTTGTTCAGAATAAATTAAGGTTTTATGAGGTTTCAATTTGGGATTATGCAGCAGAGACAATAGCAAGTCCTGTCTTTCAATATTTTTTTTTATTATTATAACACAATATGAGAAACACAAAACATATATATATATATATATATATATATATATATATATATATATATATACTCTCTTTTTACAGCTATTTTGTGGTGGTCATCTTCTAATATTTATATTCTCCCCTGATTCCCTTTATACTATTCATTTTCTTCTTGCCCTTTTCTCTTTTAATTACATTATACTTCTTAACAGTCATAATGGTTTTATACATTCTATACATTATCATATTCGTTCTTTCCATTTTCAACTTCATCCCTATTTTTATAATCCATTATTTCTAGTCTCTAGCCACTTATACCATTTGTTCCAGATGATATAATATTCCGTATTTCCTTTTCTTTGAGCTCTTTTGTTAATTTGTCCACCTCGGCACATTCTAGGATTTTTTTTTAGCAATTCTTCTTCTGTTGGTATGTTTTCCTTTTTCCAATTTTGGGTGTATGATATGTGTGTGGCTGTACATATTATATGTAAAATCAAATATTTTATTTCTTTGGTGTAGTTTTTGGTAAATATTCCTAATAAGAATGTCTCTGGTTTTCCATCAATAGGTTGCTCTGTTATTTTTTCTAACCATTTCTTAATCTTAGCGCAGATTTTTTTTGCAACCGGACAGGTCCACCAAAGATGATAATACATTCCGTAGCTCTTATTGCATTTCCAGCATACTGGAGAGTTATTCAGAAACATCTTTGCAAGTCTAGCCTCCAATATTTTAGTTGGACTTTCTCCTCCATAAAATACATGGTAGAGCTATTTTTATTTAACAGGGACATGGTGGCTCAGTGGCTAAGATGCTGAGCTTGTCGATCGAAAAGTCGGCAGTTCAGCGGTTCAAATCCCTAGTGCCACGTAACGGGGTGAGCTCCCCTTACTTGTCCCAGCTTCTGCCAATCTAGCAGTTCGAAAGCATGTAAAAAATGCAAGTAGAAATATAGGGACCACCTTTGGTGGGAAGGTAACAGTGTTCCGTGACCTTTGGCGTTTAGTCATACCGGTCACATGACCACGGAGACAGTCTCTGGACAGCGCTGGCTCTTCAGCTTTGAAACGGAGATGAGCGCCGCCCCCTAGAGTCTGGAATGACTAGCACATATGTGCGAGGGGAACCTTTACCTTTACCTTATCTTTATTTATTATATAAAAGTGGGGAATTTGCCCTAGAAAGGAAATGAGTTGATTCTCCTGATTTCATTATTCAGTGCTTTCAAAAGAATTCTGTAATGCTGAACTGGTTACCCATTCCCATATAACATTTCATAGGAGAGGAGTTCCTTACATATTTTTTCTTTCCTAATCCGAGTCTGAATAACAAAGTGCAGCTCTGGCTGTTTGGAACAGGCAAAATAATATATTCTTCTCTTGTGAAAAACATGGCTGTAAGCTCAGACAGAAGATTGCACCATGCTAGTTAGTTCAGATAAGTTATGTGGCTTGTTTGTCTTTAGCATGGCATCAGAAGCATCTGCCTTGATCGCTGCTGGGCTACAAAGAGCCTGAGGGAATCAGTAACCTCCCTCCATGCAAGTTTCTACTTCATAAACCTAACAGGCAGAGTGATTAAAAATAATTCCACTGACAAGAAACCCAGCACTGCTGTGACATTCGGCCAAGGGAACTAGAAGCTGTGGGTGATAACAGAACCTGCTGGCAAGCCCTATTGCTATGAAGCCTCCATTGGCTTCATAGACAGACACTGCCAAAAAAAACCTGATAGAAAAATCACAGAATAACACTCTTGGTTATTATAGGAGTAGATTTTCAGTTGCTCCCATTGTGCTAGATTCTGCGCTTCACTGGGATTCCAGAACCATCTCTGTGTCCACAGAACCAATGCATAAGTTGCATAAATAAAGTGATAGTATCACAATCAGGGGTGAAATCCAGCAGGTTTCCTACAGGTTCTGGAGAACTGGTAGCGGAAATTTTGAGTAGTTCGGAGAACTGGCAAATACCACCTCTGGCTGATCCTATTTATTTATTTATTTATTTATTTATTTATTTATTTAATTTAATTTATATACTGCCCTTCTCCAACAGGACTCAGGGCAGTAAACAGCCATGGTAAAACATAACATATAAAATTTTAAAACAATTTAAAAACAATTAAATTGTTTTTAAATTGGTCCTAGAGTAGGGAGGAAATGGGGATTTTGCAGTATCCTTTCCCTGCCATGACAACCAAGCCACGCCCACCAAGCTATACCATGCCCACCAAGCCACGCCCACAGAACTGGTAGTATAAAAATTTGGATTTCACCACTGATCACGATCGTGAGAAGTTGAATAATAAATAAATAAATAAATACCTCTACATCTCATTAAGTGAGGGCAAACTTTGAATACTGCATATAGTTCTGCTGACCACAATACAAAAAAGATGCTAAGGACTGTAGAGAACAACAGAGATAATAAGGTATCTGGAAGCCGAATTGTCCTATGAACCGTCGAGGGAGCTAGATAGGTATAGCCTGTCAAAGAGAAGGATTGGGAAGGGACATGATAACGGTCTTCCATTACTTGAGGGGCTGTCATAGAGAAGAGGGGATTGACTTATTCTCCAAAGCAACCAGAAGGCAGGCAGGGAAGCAGTGGGTGGAAGCTTGTTAAAGAGAGACCCAACCTAGAAATAAGGAAAACCATTTCTGACAGTGAAAACAATTATTCAATGGAATAGCATGCTTCCTGGAGTTGTAGGTGCTCCATCACTGAAGATTTTCAAAAAATAGACTGGACCCAGCCATTTGTTTCCATGAAGGATGAAGGAAGAACACACAAGTATGAAGGATGGGGTTCCTGCCTTACGCAGGGGGGTTGAAGACCTCCAAGGTTCCTTTCAGCCCTATGATTCTATGTTCTAACCCAGGGGTCTCCAACTTTGGCAACTTTAAGCCTGGCAGACTTCAGCTCCAAGAATTCCCCAGTCAGTTGCCAAGGTTGGAGACTCCTGTTCTAACCCAAAGAACTACCTAAACCATGGGTCTCCAACCTTAGCAACTTTAAGCCTAGAGAACTTCAACTCCCAGAATTCCTCAGCCAGTTGCCAAGGTTGGAGACCCCTGCCCTAAACCAAAGAACTACCTAAACCATGGGTCTCCAACCTTGGCAACGTTAAGCCTGGAGGACTTCAACTCCCAGAATTCCAAAG